GCTGCCGCAGGTCCAATGCCCCGCGCTGCCATCCGTGGGGCTACTTGTTTGCGTAAAGGCGCGTCGGCTTGTTGCCTCAAAGCCCCTCACGTTAGGGTGACGGGGCGGTTTGGGTAGGGACGATGAGCAGAGTCTGTGTAAGTGATGCAGTGACCTTCACCCACAGAGCTGGCTTCCTCTTTTATTCCATTCAGCACCTCTGTGCACCTTTAAGGGGCGGGGCCTCAGGGGGAAAGGGCGTGGCCAAGAGCCTCAGGTGGAAAGGGCGTGGCCAAGAGCCTCAGGTGGAAAGGGCGTGGCTCAAGACTCTCAGGCCCCCCAGACAATAGCGCCCCCTGCCTTCTGCCAGCAGTCCTCTCCAGACAGCCCTAAAAATAGGATAATATATAGAGATAAATCTATTTCAGAGCAGGAAGGGAACTCAAGAGCTCATTGAGTCCAGTCTCTCACAGTAGGACTGATTACCATGCCTGACAGATTTACCCTGGTCCCTCAATGGCTGAACTCATAGCGCTAGATTTAACAAGCCAATGCACAACCCCCTGAGCTATCATTCCCCTGGCCTTATGCCTACCTCCCTTAGCAGTTTAAAGGGCTCTGGACACCATTGCTGCAGGAGCTCTGGACCTTTTTAAATAGCTGGGTCTCAAGGCAGGCCTGACCACACAGAATAGATTGTTTTGTTCAGCTGTAACGTCTGCCAGTAAAACCGCAAGAGACTCCCTCATCTCCAAGAGCAGAGCAAAGTGTTGTACAACCAGCTACGTAGTGGGCTGGACGCATGACTCGCGTACGGTCTGCTATGAAGAAGGAAGCTTGCTCCAGAGTAGATCAAGATATTTTTTTTTTAAAAAAGGATTTTATTCAGACAGTAATTTCCCTTTTCTAAAAAGGTTTTTGATGAAATTAAAATCAAAAGAGCCTTTTTCCTCTCCATTTTGGGGCTGCTTGGTTTTCCCTCTCTTCCCCCTTTGTATTCTTTTTATTTTATTTATTTATTCATTCTTTTTTCATTTGTGGATTTTTTTCATGAAATTTTTCAGATCATTTTTTCTGACTTTTGTCATTTTTCACGTTCATCATGGTTTTATCCCCTTGTCCCTCTTCTTATTCTTTAGTCACTTATCCATTTGCTGAGTTTTTTCATGAAATTGTTCAACTATATATTTTTTATTTTTGACATGTGTCATTTTTATGGTGATTTTTCCCATCTTTCCTCTAACTTTTTTCTTTCTTTTTTCCAATCAGTCTGAAATAAAGCCCAAGGTTTTTGAAGGTTGGGTTTTTTTCTTCCATTTTTCATTTCTTTTTCATGTCGCAACTTCTGAAAACTCGCAGGGTGGCCAAAAGAAAAATGAGTACACCTGGGATAGCGTTCCTTCTATCACATTTAGTAGTTAAATGGGAGAAAAGACAAATGGGAAAAGGAGAAAAATTAAAAACCAAAAATGGAAGGGGGAATAAAAATTTGAAAATCACACATTTTCATAGAAAATGTTCAGAAATGAGGAGTTTTTTTATTTGGAAACTTGAAGAAACCTAACTTTGATGGTTCCCCCCACCCCCATTAGCTTGCTTGTTTGCTTGCTCTCATCCTCTCTCAACCTCCTGTAAATGTACAGGGACACGCCCTGCATTTTGATGCCAGCCTCACTGTAGCCACACAAAGGAGTCTGAGCCTCTTTAACTAGAGCAGTTTCTAACCCTGGATAAAAGTTCTTTGGTTCAATTCCACCTGTCAGCCCAGAGACCTCTGAAGCTTAGTGCTTGAATCTCTCCAGCTTGTGCTAAATGCCAGCTGGCGCTCAGCTAAGGCTGTAGAGCTCACTCATTCTCAGGCCAACCTTATATTACACCTGGATAGTTGGCTTAAGATAGGCAACTCCAGCTATGCAAACAACATAGCTGAAGTCGACATACCTACAGCAGGAGGTTTGATGGAAGCTAATGTTCCCGTCAGTTTCGCTAACGCCTCACAAATGGAGGAGTACAGGCACTGATGGGGGCACCATCAGCATTCCATTTAGAGGGTCTTTACTAGACCCACTAAAACAAATACCAAAAGATTGATCTTTGGCACATATAGGTGTGGCCTCCCTGGATGTGATCTAAGTGAGACAGTGAGCCCCACCCAGAAGTGTGAGAGTTACGGATGGAGACTGACAATGTGTTCCTCATTATTGAAGCTCTGTAATTCTTTCCACTTCTCTGAGGCAGTGTGGCCTTCACCATCTCAGTTTTTCACAGGGGACACTGAAGCCTTAAGATCTTCACAGAGGGAACAGAAGCCAGTGGTACTGGGAGGAAACAAACCCCTTTGTGTCTGAGTCACGGCTGAGCCCTCTTCCCTAGTCAGAAGGCGATGTCGTTATTTTCGTTCTCATCGCCGTGTGAACACTTTCAGACTCAGCGTAGCTAAGGTCAATTGAACGCCATTTGGTTTGCTCTGGACAGTAACAAAATTGACTTTGTCCGCTTTGGGTGGGCCTTGTTATTTCAGAATGGAAGGCGCCACGGTCTGCTTAGTAAACGTTGGTGTAATTGTGAACCGAGTTCCATCGACTTCTGCCGCTTCTGTTTTGAACTAAGCACGTCCCAGCTGAGATTTTAGCACGGAAATCACCACAGCTGGGTTCCCACGAGCCTTTTGTTATGTTAGTGCATGTCCAGCTGCCACCAAGGCCAGACTCACCATCCCCTCCCCGCCCCAGCAGTGACAGCCCTTCCCACAGGAATTCTGTTCTGAAGTTTTTCAGGGCTGCCCGAGTAAAGCGGAGGAGAGGCCAGCCTGGACAAGCAATGGCGTCATACCAATCACCAGTAATGGAAGAGCATACAACTCCAGTTTGGAGGACTTGGTTTCTCGTCTGAAGCAGAGCGTGTGTGATCCGGCCCAGATAAACTCAGCAGGTAACCTCAGCTCATTGTGGGGCGCACGTCACACCCAAGTCTCCAGGGGGTAGCTGCCCGTCTCACTCACTGCTGTGTGCGACCTGCGTGTAGGAAATCTCCCCCATCTGCATTCATGACCCATGGAAGTTGATGCCAGGACTTACCAGGGCTCAGGGCTGCCCTTAGGATCAGGGCATACCAAATTCCGGGTGCCCCTAGGCAGCCGCATGTGCTGGTATGTCCAGTGTCCGGCCGACGCA